AGGTCATTTCCGCTAATCTCAAGAGGTCAATATGGTTTCAAAATGTTGATTTTTCCTTGGTGTTTTCACAGAAAAGTGTCGATACTACACACTTGTATTCAGAATCTGAAGTTTACGTTAAAGACAAAGTCAACAATAGACATCAACATTTTTACGTATTGTTTGTTTTATATCGTGTTAGGCATCAGGCGATTCTCAATTTCGGCAACTGGTGTGAGTAGATACACCGCTCCGTTTTATCATGAGTTATGAATATAAATGCATTGATATTTTTCAATAAATTATCAATAGTTAACAAGCATACTCCACGTATTTCACATCCTTCTGAAGTGTTTTCTGTAAATTAAAAACATTGGAACTTCTTTTTCACTTCAGGCGCTAGGCTGCATTACCTTTGCAATGTGTAGCACAAATCCAGTAAACGTGTAATTTATCCAGTGCAAGTCCATAGGTAGAAATGAGAGAATGCTATTTCACCTCATTGTTAAGTGTATGTTAATCGAATTTTCATCTATTATCACTTCATTGTTATTTTCGTCACATATCACATTTTCGTTATTTTAATGACATTGAAAACTTGATTCTCGTAACGTTTACTTGCATCCATGACAGGTTGGCAAAAGACACCAAAAGAGAGCGATTCACAACCAAATTCTCTGCAATAGATAGGGTGATGTCACCATCCTTTTTGGATGACACTGCTTGTTATTATGTGGAAAGTTGAACATCTTTGACTTCGAGGTGTTTCCAGTTATAGAGGAAAGCCAAAGTTTTCCCTTTTGAGAGACAGATGAACGGCTCCTTGTTCTGTTGTTACATATCACTCATATTAAATTATGATCCATTTCCTTAATTAACTCATTACGTAATTAAAGAACCAAAATAAGAACAAATGTCAAAGATGAAATACGATGTAGTTACTGCTGTCAACATGTATACATAAGGATGTTTTTTTCTAAAAACTCACCATTTTTCCGGACTTTCTTACAAAAAAGACGCTATCTCCTTTTTTAGCACATTGCTGGATTTGATGGACATTTCCCAAAGCATAATCCAAAAAAGCTAGCATAAGCACAGAAACAAAATCATATTTGGTATGTTCTGTATTGGGATTTTGTGAAAACTCAAATTTTATCGATTCTTATCCAAAATATTGAAAGATACTTTCCGCTGATATTGAATACAGTTCTGCATTCCGTGGTATTGCGTCAGTTGTCTCTACTTCTCATGAACAACTCTCGTGGGCGTCATTGCATTTAACAATTAGCTTCAAGGGATTAAGACAGACAAATAGCAGGGAAGATACAAAACCTTGACATACATATCAGTGCACATGAGTCGACTTCGCTATTTTTTTCTGATAACTGATGAATACCCTGAAGACAATCTACAATGGCATTTGACCAGAAAATAAATCGTGACAATGGGGCAAAATTGTCAAACTAGTTGAGTGGTACAGGCCCAATGATCCTCTTGTTATTCTTTCCCAACATGGGCGGACATCGATTGGTTAAAACATTTATGGTTTAAAAAATCATGAGAGGAAATTCATAATGCATGGTCTAAATGGTGACGAAATCAACAAAGTTCCCTAAAGTGACCGTCTTGGAGGGGCTAATGTTTGTTCAAAATCTGTAGAGTGCCACATTTCATCACAATTTGGTATATATAACACACAAATACAATTCTATTTGTATAGCCTGAAAACATATTGAATCAGAAACTCGTGATGGACATTGACAAAGTGTATAATACTTAAGAGCAGCTGTACTGTAACTTTTCGGCATGTAATATCTTATTTTCTCATCGAACAATGTGGCCACCATTTTGTTGCTACTTACTCGTCAAAATTTACGAAATGTCGGATTCTGATTTTAAATAATATTATTATGGAACAAACGATATTACTATAAGCTTTGATCCACTTGCATGGTAGTGTGCTTATAGTCTGAACAAACAAATACGCATACTACCAGAGAGTAATTTTGGAATTGCCATTTTCATTCATGTAAAGCTTCAGAATATCCATGAATGATTCGAACAGTCAAACTGCTATGACGATAACAGGGATATTTCTGTACTGGCAGGTGCGATGACCTCTGACGATCGTAAACAACCAACTGACGTAACCATCATACTTTATTCAATTAAATTAAACTATCACTTAGAGTCTTGTGCATATGGATGTTATCTCGTTCCTACTTGTCTTCCATAAATCACCATACAATGAGCCTCCCGTAGGATTTTTCCTGAAAGAAATAGATTTGATTGCAGCACATTGCCAGTCGTCTGTGAATTTCAATAGCCGTTGTTTCTATGTAATGTCATTCCAATCAAAAATATAGGACGATCGTTTCAGGAATATTGGTCAATACGGGGCGATAAATAAACTTATATATGATTAAATAAAAAATCATCTGAAAAGAATGTCTACAGATTGGTTAATATGACTTTTGTGTATATGCTAATATTCATTCGACAGTGGATCGTCTTTTTAAATATAATTTACCGATTCGTTTCTTGTGCTTGTCGTCCTACCATTGTACAAACGTCCTGCTAATTGTAATTTAAGCCTTGGTGATTCCTTCGTGGGGTTCACATTTGTCTCCTTAAACAAGCCTTTACATACGGTGGTATTGACATCAAGTCGATATTTGAATATGTTGTATAACGTCTCTGGCTTATTGGAGATAGCTTACGTTGTTTCAACAGCTGAAAGTTTGGAAATTATTACACTAAACATGTGGTGTAATAATAGTTCAGTGCTTAGTAAAATATTTTAAGTTGACGACCACGCACACTTAATTAAATGTCAATGCTCAAAATGTCTACCGAATTTATCTTCTCGCTGCTAAATTTTCCTTAAATTTTAACCTTCTGTTTTCATTCTAATCATTTCTTTCCAATTTTGAGTGAAAACCGAAATTTCACTGTTGTCTGATGTTAGCAGTAAAATAAGTTTATGTCCTTACCATATCAACATAAAGTTTTTACATCGTGATTCGATAATCACGCGTACAATTCAGTGTGATCTAGGATCTATGAACACGTGCCGAAAACTTTATCATTAAGAATTAATATTATGTATTTCTTCTGTATCAAATATACGTGACACTTAAATTAACATATCTAAATCTGTTAAATCATTGAATAAAAATATTGTTAAAACCTATCGTTTTTCCCCAATAACGAATCAGATTTTTTTTTTTTTTTTTGTTACAAACTTTCTCATGAATCTGTGTCATTGGTATCTAGAAATAGCCACTACCTGTCACCGGTTCTTTAAACGTCCATGGATAATTGCTAATTAACTAATAACACCCTAATAAACGAGCCTTGGAGACGTTGACACTCTAAACAGGTCGTAACATGGGTGCAATAGTTCTAATTCAATGGCCAATATTCTTCTCTAGGGGTGAAAATCTTACTGGAAACAAGTAATCAAATTAAAGGCAACATGAGAAGACCAGCATAAGAATGATCGGCAGGATTAGATGGATTTATTTCACAGAGGATTCGTGAATTCGGTATATAATGTAATAATATAGCACCATTGTATTGTGGAAACTTCCTTAACTGTGAATGGACCAAATTACCAAACGGAAACAAATGACATTCACCTACAAATTACTAAGGGAATGTACAACAATACACAATATTCATGTAAATTTACACAAACTGTAGAATCTGAAATCTTAAATTAATAAACAGAGATCAGATAAATATTCTTCAAAAATAATAATAAGAAAACTTAATTCTTTAAGAAAAACATGACTATTCCAAGGTGCTGGTAGCTGACCAGTGTACTCGGCCTCCGGCTTCCCAATATAACACTTATCAACCAGCACCAATATATGTATATATATATTTTCAGTTTTAACTTTTTCATTACATCCGGAAAACAGTTGATTCCAGTGCATATAGAACAAACATAGCGCATTGTGTAATAAACCACGTTCCATTATCATGGGCCTTAATCTTGAAATCCAGGAGAAGACTAAGAAAAGTCCAAAGTCATCAGAAGGAAAGTCAAGATCTGACCAAGGAATTGCACTGTAGCTCAATTATTATTATTATATATATATATTTCATTTTCGCAGTTTTCGTAAATTTTAAACATCAGAAAATTTCAGAAGGACGTCAGGTACATATAAATATTCTGAACAGTGTCATTATTCTAATGATTCAAAGCATGGCATGCAGGTTACTGTATGAATCTTTTCATTCTTACTGGCCAATCATTATGTGTCTCTCGACATAATTTTACGTCATTGTATATGGATTGAAGAGACTGTTCTGTCATTCAGTTTGGTAAAATTTTGGACCTTGCATAGTTTCTAATGAGTTTCTTATTCACCTATCACTACTACCACAATATAGGTTACGGATTTAATTTTCCCTGCGTTGGTTACGGTGGCCCTCTGTTAAAATGAAAAGTACAACGTGAATCTCGACCTCAACGTTACTTCAAGTATGTTTCCATTTCCTTTTTTGAAATATTTCAGAGTACTTAATTCAGATTTAATAGTAAGCGTGATTTAATAAGGTAAACGATGTCCTCGAATTACATTTGGAAATCACAGAACGGAACTTCCTACGAAACAGGGTTACGCCCAACCGGAAGTTGTACCTATTGAAGCGTGTTTTTTACCGTGTCATTAGCGGAAGTCGTATGATTAATAGCTTTCGCGTCATTGACGCGATGTTTTAATTGTTTATTAGCGATGATTTGAGATACCTTGTGTAGATGTCCATAGTTAACGAGATTTAACATTACTTTTGATACGTTATATACTGCGTATATAAGTATATACATGTACATTTCACTACCTGTGGCTGTATTTGTCATAAATATATTCATTATGAAATTTTATTATTCACATTTTATGATTGGCTTATTTAGTGTCACGTGATTCCAGAGTAAAGTCACACTGACCAGCCATGCAGGAACGAAAAACGTATTAATAGAGTGGGAGTGTTTTAGTTTAATTATAACAGAAATGGCAGACGACAAGTTTGCCGCTCTTGCACATAACAAAAAGCATGCTATTTTGGATGGTATGGAGTCCAATAACACTAAGCGCAACACATTGATTGAGGTAAAAGTCTTCAGGGAAATTTCTTACAACCAAAAGAGAAAGACTTCTAGAATTATTCTTTTATTAAAGTTAGAAATTTTCTATATCAACTGAAAATATCATAGCTTTTAAATTTCGGTCAAAGCACGTTTTATCGACTTCAGTAAAATATATAATTGTTTGTTGGCCTCATCGAAAGGCTATGATTGTATGGTATTGATGATAGAGAAAATGTTACTGAAATAAAGCATTTGATGGGGTGTGTTAGCATATGCAGAGCCTTTTCAAATTTTCTTTTCTTAATTTTTTTCATTTCAGCCAAGATCTACAGAGAGTCGCAAATGTTATAATGAGTGTAAAGAACGACAACTCTGGTCAAAGGATTGTAACATCCGAAGTAAATACAGGAATGTTTATTTACAAAACAAATGGAAGCAGAAATATTTTTGTAGTATCTCAAACAAAGTCTCATTCTTATCATTATCCAGAAAAAGCTGTAGTTATCCAACACTTTTTTAAACATCGTCACCATCTGAGATGTCTTCGCCACAAAATGATTTTAGTTAAAATCAATTGACATGTGAATGCCAAGAGAATAGATAAAAGCTCTCAGCGCTTTCTGATTGATTTGCTTTTATCCAGCAGGTTTTCATAATTATCCGGTAATACTAACACACATGCGTATTTGTGTCCGACACAAACAGCAAAACATAGAAATTAAACACTACTTGAAAGTTCCTGTCTATAGTATCTCATTAAATGTAAAACGTCACTTCTAGCCCACTGGGATGGTAACGCGAGTGAAAGAGTCTCATTGACGAGCGACACAGCTGTTACAGAGAGAGTGCGTTATAGATAAAACGTGCTTTACAAGGACATTGATCCCGTGTCGATCATTGTAGGTCTTTCCGGGAATAAATACAGATTTAAGTTTTCTTACACTGAAAATAATTACTTTAATTAGATATCCACCACCATCCCATGATTCTTTAACGACCTCCATAAACAGAGCCCACCCTCTCTTTTCCCCGAGGAAGTTTTAAGAAAATGCTGGAAAACGATTTGTATGTTTTTCTTATTCATCTCCTCCAGAAGCGTGAACAATGTTTGCATATTTTCTTTTCTTTTGTGACTTGTCTGCACTTCATTATCTTCTGTGTACACATGTAAGCCCCATATGGGTAAATGGGTATGCATTTTGCTCTCTCTCTCTCTCTCTCTCTCTCTCTCTCTCTCTCTCTCTCTCTCTCTCTCTCTCTCACCCCCACCTCAAAATCAGGGCAGAACATCAATGACACTTCCGGTTAAGGAAGGTCTCCTACTGAAATAGGCAGGAATAAATGAACCTCTGATTTGTATGCCATCCATGGCTTCCAAACTATTTTAAGGCTAACTGATAAATAGAAACAATTAACGACAGCCTAGAAAATATTAAAACCTCGGCCTACTATATAAACAAATAATTATGTTGCCTGCACTGCTATGATAAAACTTTACTTAAATCCGAAAACACATCACTACCAACCTTTGTACTAGATCTTACCACTACCACCCCACCCCATTCCCCGTTATCACATCACTACCAACTTTTGTACTAGATCTTACCACTACCACCCCACCCCATTCCCCGTTATCACATCACTACCAACCTTTGTACTAGATCTTACCACTACCACCCCACCCCATTTCCCGTCATCACAACACTACCAACCTTTGTACTAGATTTTACCACTACCACCCCACCCCATTCCCCGTTATCACATCACTACCAACCTTTGTACTAGATCTTACCACTACCACCCCACCCCATTCCCCGGCATCACAACACTACCAACCTTTGTACTAGATCTTACCACTACCACCCCACCCCATTCCCCGTTATCACAACACTACCAACCTTTGTACTAGATCTTACCACTACCACCCCTCCCCATTCCCCGTCATCACAACACTACCAACCTTTGTACTAGATCTTACCAGTACCCTCATCTGTCCTCACATCACGACCAACCTTTATACGAGACATTTCCATAAACCCCCTCCTTCAACATGTCAGTACCAACCTTTATACGAGACATTTCCATGAACCCCCTCCTTCAACTTGTCAGTACCAACCTTTGTACGAGACATTTCCATGAAACCCCTCCTTCATCATGTCAGTACCAATCTTTATACGAGACATTTCCACTGATCCCCTCCTTCATCATGTCAGTACAAACCTTTGTACGAGACATTTCCATGAACCCCCTCCTTCATCACGTCAGTACCAACCTTTGAACGAGACATTTCCATGAACCCCCTCCTTCATCACGTCAGTACCAACCTTTGAACGAGACATTTCCATGAACCCCCTCCTTCATCACGTCAGTACCAACCTTTGAACGAGACATTTCCATGAACCCCCTCCTTCAACATGTCAGTACCAACCTTTGTACGAGACATTTCCATGAACCCCCTCCTTCAACTAGGCAGTACCAACCTTTGAACGAGACATTTTCATGAACCCCCTCCTTCAACATGTCAGTACCAACCTTTGTACGAGACATTTCCATGAACCCCCTCCTTCAACTAGGCAGTACCAACCTTTATACGAGACATTTCCATGAACCCCCTCCTTCAACTAGGCAGTACCAACCTTTATACGAGACATTTCCATGAACCCCCTCCTTCAATATGTCAGTACCAACCTTTATTCGAGACCTTTCCATGAATCCCCTCCTTCAACTTGTCAGTACCAACCTTTGTACGAGACATTTCCATGAACCCCCTCCTTCAACATGTCAGTACCAACCTTTGTACGAGACATTTCCATGAACCCCCTCCCTCAACACGTCAGTACCAACCTTTGAACGAGACATTTTCATGAACCCCCTCCTTCAACATGTCAGTACCAACCTTTGTACGAGACATTTCCATGAACCCCCTCCTTCAACTAGGCAGTACCAACCTTTATACGAGACATTTCCATGAACCCCCTCCTTCAACTAGGCAGTACCAACCTTTATACGAGACATTTCCATGAACCCCCTCCTTCAACATGTCAGTACCAACCTTTATTCGAGACCTTTCCATGAATCCCCTCCTTCAACTTGTCAGTACCAACCTTTGTACGAGACATTTCCATGACCCCCCTCCTTCAACATGTCGGTACCAACCTTTATACGAGACATTTCCATGAACCCCCTCCTTCATCATGTCAGTACCAACCTTTACACGAGACCTTCCCATGAACCCCCTCCTTCATCATGTCAGTACCAACCCTTGAACAGCATTTCCATGAACCCCCTCCTTCAACTAGGCAGTACCAACCTTTATACGAGACATTTCCACTGACCCCTTCGTCATCACAGCACAACTAACCTGTGAACAAGACCTTCCTTTTACCTCCCTCTGACGCCACACCTCTATAATAGGTTTTAACAGTACGATCTTCAGACGATCGCTGACATTCGGGTCACAGAAAATCAATATTTTATATATATTACAATATTTCCAATCCAAAGCCATGATATCTCGATTAATTTGCGTTAGGCGATTTGCTAATAAACAGCTTGATAAACGTTTATTTCAAACCTCTTTACAGGGCTTAATGATTACCATATATGTCATCCTGTGTCTACTTTATTGTTGAAATATACGTTGATATTTCATAAAAGCAAAACAGTGTATTTACCATGAAATCTTCTGAAACACCATATGCTTTAACTCCGTCTGGCAGACAAAACGTTTGACGGATATAAGAATATGATTGCATCACCAGACGTGTGGCCATCAACTATATCCTTTTATACCTCTTTATCTGTTTCGGACGATGCATGCTGACAACTTGATAATATTCTGTTGATGCGATTCTGATCGTCATCATTATATAGCAAATCCAAATTGTCACCCAGGTAAGCGTCATTAACATAGCGATCCAAGACAATCCGATTTACAGGGAGAGTAAACGTCATTTAAACTGCCATTTTGGAAAATAGGAAGGTGGCAATTGAAGTAAATGAGTGAAAATACGGTTGATCTCGGGGAGGGGCTCAATTTATACATTTCCCATACTTTTCTTACACTGAGATGAGTTTAATGTCGGGGTTGTAGAAATTATCATATTGACAAGTAATGTCATAAATGAAACGCAGCGTCCATATCTTATAAAGAACTGTTGGTCCATCTTTTTAACGTTAATTCTATGTAGTTTTGACAATAGTTTCTAAAATAAAGTAAAAGTTTGATAGTTTCTAAAAATAAATATTTTTTTATCTAATTATATCATATGAATATATTTGAGAGCTTGTTTGCAGGAAGAAATTATTCCGTCATTGCTCGCAAAAAATAAGGATGCCCCGCAGGGAATTTGATGGCCTGGGGCGAAAGTGTCAGATAAAATTATGTAGGGCTTATCTTATCAATTTTGTGATCGCTATGTTTAAAACATGATAATGATTTCTCACTCATACATCGATTTGTCTGGCTGCAACACGAGGGAAAGAAATATATTTAGAAAACAAAAACACGTTTTGTTTTTACGATATATATCTACTTCCGGTTAAACAATTAGTAAACTTGAAAACTGCCGACGCTTGTGTTTGAATGATTTGTTACACTGTATGTTTTATTCTCAAGCTGAAAATACTCCAATGCATCAACTAGCTTTTAAGAACGTTTATTAAGATTTCAACGGGATTGGGGGAGATGTCACTCGGGAAAATGTTTAATGACATCGTTTCCATACAGACGTCACTTCCGAATGAGGTTGAATTGGAGTAAGGAGATATGGTCCTGGCTATCTTACTGGTTTCGTTATTATCTTGAGATGGTTTCCTCTTGGTGATCCTTCTGGTTGTGTCCATCTTCCTGGTCCCGTTGGTTCTTCAGTGGTGGGAGTCTTCAGATGTCAGAGTCATGAGATAATTAAAGAAGTGGTAAAGATAGCTTTTCTGAAGTATGTCTTTTAGACCTGATGATCTTGTGAGTTGCCAAAAAGCATTCGAACTGGATTGGATAGAGTTCGTATTCAAATAAGAAGAACCTACATCGAATGGATTTGATTTTTTTTTTTACCATTAATGGATTAACAATGTCACCCTATTGAGCTTTTTGATAAATGGGAATGAACAAAGATTTTTATCTATGACGTTAATGATATAGGCGATGTCTGGCTATTGTTTAAATTCGTTGAAAGGTCCCACGGCTTCATAATGTATTATACATAGACTAACTAGGACAACCTCGATCAGAACAAGATTTGTGAGCAGGGTCTAACGGCTACAAGCTGTACAATACATCTAACTGTAGGAATGCCTTGATCAGAACGACCGTCTCGAAATGGAACGAAAACAGAAAACATAACCTACCGGAGAACATTTTGAATCCAAAACGTTACACAAAAGCAAGAAAATGTCA